TTTTTTAAAAAAAAAAAAAAAAAAAAAAAAAAAAGATTCGTGGTTCATTCTTATTTCTGGTATTATTTAAATTAACTAATTAACCACTCTCTTATTTTTTTTTCACTTTTTCAGGTGATGGATTGGAAAGTAGGGAATTATTAACCAAATAATTCATGCATAATTACATTATAATTCATTACACCAAAAAAAAAAAAATAATAAAATAAAAAAATCAAAGGTAATAGTTGCATTATTTTGATGTTGAAAATTCAAACACCTACACTTTATATCATTGAGATACATTAGGATGGAAATAAATAAATAAATAATATTAATTATATATACCAAGGCCTAGATCGTTACATATTCAATATGCTAAAGTACATAGTAAATATGACTTTAAATAAAATAATAATTAAATCATACATGTGAACGGTTTTATTATATGCTTTTTTTAATTACTTACGTTAATTCATTTACTAATTACATAAAACGAAAAAAAAATGTTATGAAACTCGCTAATTTCAATGAAAGTTAGGTTTTAATAAATTATATAATGATTGCAACAATCAGTAATTAAATTTATGATTAAAAGGTTAAGATAAAAATTCAAACAGTATGGCTTCCAAAACAGGTGCACCGCCGTGGCCTGCCGTCTCCACCTCAAACGTGAGTAAATAGTAATATTATTATAATAATATTTGTTAGATGAACATGATTCTTTTTTGGGTTTCTCTAAAATGTCTCGTAATAATGAAGAGAGTATTATTTATTTATAAATCTATGATCCAACAATATTGACAACTCTTAAGAGTTCTGTTACAAATTGAAGCATCTCATTATATTTTAGTATTGGTTGGGCCTCCTCGTACCGATTAACATTTGAATTAGGAGATGTTGATTTAACATTGGGCTGTGCATCCGGGTACAGGGCCTAATTTGCTTCCCAATTACCCATAGTCAAGCCCAATAATTGAATCTTGGGCCTCACTTTTGAGTCTAGATTCGCCGGCAATGGCATGGCCTCTGTATAAGATAATGGTGTGTGTGTCATGTGAGTGTGCGTGTGGGGCTGCAGGCCTGCAGCTGACGCGACGAGGAATGAACCTGAAGAAGGGGACCCCTCCTTTTTGTCTTTGGTTTTGATTGGAATGACGCCTACGGCTTTTGGTTATTCCCTCCAAAATATCTATTTTGTTGCGTGTAGAAGCAACCTACTTCTTTTTCTATTCCCTTGTTTCAATAATTGCCCACTATCCAATTTCACTCCATCGTTCATTTAGTTCAATAATTCCCATTTAATCTTCTAACTATAATTGTTAATCCAAGTTTAATCAAAATAATAATAAAAAGAAATAAGAGAGAGAAAGAGAGAATAGTAGATGGGGGCCAGAAAAACGTGGGTGTTGACTCCAGAGTGGATCATAAATCGTATGTCCCCACAATCCACCGACAATGTAGCAAACCCAACAAGATTCCCTTCTCCCCTCCCTTTATTTTATTAACCTTTATTTTATTAATCCACGTCTCTCTAAAAAAAATATAAACTCTATTTAAATTGTTCGAGTCAGATGGGACCAAGTTTGAGGAAGGGGTGGGGATTTGAAGTGAGGCTGGTGGATCCACCGTCACACAAGGATGCTCCTCCGTACACCGGCAAGGCGTGATTCCCTGTCTATTTTGAGGTGGGGGTGTGTGTTGGTACCACATAAATATATGATGACAACCAACGATCTTCTCCCGACCAATGGAGGGAGGGACCAACACACAATCTCCGGATCCTCTTTCCTTAAATTTAAATTATATTCAATAATAAAATAAAATAAAAACAATCAACATTAATTTAGAAAATAGGCAATAACTTTAAAGAAGCTCCATCTAAGTATTTTGTTTTGAACCATAAGATTGGAGTAAACTTAAATCGTACGGCCATGGTCGACTTGTGGGTGGGCCATAGCATTGCAATGAAATCTTGTGACATTTATTTTCCATATAATACAAGATTCTAATACATACAATTTAGACAACTCTTTCTGTGACCTATAATTCTCTTTTGCATGTGATTCGCCTTTTTCTCTATAATGTATGTAACTTTGTAATTACTATCAATCTTATTCATCTTAGAATTTATGTATTTATTTATTTATTGTATGAATTTTAAAATTTGAGATTTAAATTAAAAAAAAAAAAAGACAAATTTTATTTTAGTAAAAAGATGAAATATTCTTGGAGAAAAGTCCAAGAAAGTCGTTATCGAAATTAGGCTTAAAAGTATGTGGAAACCTGAATAAAATATGGAGAGAAAAAAGAAAGGGCTAAGGATGTGAATTATATATATATGAAAGTACTTGGAATCTCGTGCATTGCTGGTGTTGCCTATTTCTGAAGCATATCTTTCACGAAACTTGAAGGAGATTGGCTGGAATCTGACCCCAAACATCGCAGAACTTGGGGGACGTTTCTGTTCCTGTTCTTGTTCATGTTCATGTTCGTGTTCTTGTTCCCTTCTTTTTTCACTGGGTAAACGAGTGAGAATCTTTTTGTTTCAGCTCATATTATCTTCCTCTTTCCTTTATTTATTCACTATTGCTTTGAGCGGAATGGTGGAGTCCTCCATGTTCCATCGATTTCTGTGCAAACGGATTAGGATTTTCTTGCCGGAACTTCTTGGAGGATATGAAGTTTCTTCTTCTTCTTCTTCTTCTTCGTCATCCTCCTTTTCATCTTAGATTTTGACTTCTTTTGCAGTGTTCTGAAATATTGAAGTTCATGCCAAGCTGCAATTCCATCTGCTGATCGGTCGTTTGGATTACGGGTTATTGTTCAGGTAATTCTGTAGGTTTTTTCGAGTTTGCTTTCGTTTTTTTCTTTTTGTTAGTCTTTCGATTGATCTGAGTTGAATTCGAGATTCGATCCAACTTCGTCATTGTAATCTGTAATTAGTGGTGATCTTCGTTTGGTTTTAATGAATTACAGAGTTTCCATGGAAGCGAATTCTTATAGAGTATAATGATTTTTTTTTTTTTTTTTGTTTTGTTTTGTTTTGTTTGGGAGTTGCGCATTAAGTGTTCGACGTAATGACTGAATGAGATAGGGAGTGTTTTGGATAGCGAACAAAAGACCAATGAAACGTTATCACAAACTTTTATTCATTCGTACTGTACTCCTCTGTCCTCATTATAGAATTGCCACACAATACATAATTCGTAATGCCGTTGAACAGTGAAATGGCATATATTATATATTTATTTATTTATCAAACTCGAGACCTTTGGATTAATGATTTTTCAGGCAAGAATTTATTCCAGTAGCAGATTCTGAATTTCTGAGCCGCTTCCTTTTTTATTGATAGTCTTCTTTCTGTTTTTTTCTCTTTATTCCTCAGACTAGATATTCAAGACTGCATCAGCTAAAATCCCAATGGAAAAGCTGCCTGAAGTAAACGAAAAGGAGTTCATGAGGATGGCTATGTTAAAGCATGAAGAAACATTCAAACAACAGGTTTTTCCCCAATTTTGATCTTCAATTTGCCTTTCATTCTTTTGGTTTTGAGTTCAAAACAGCCATGCAATTATTGAACTGTTAAATGATGCATCTCTTCATTTTTTCCACTGGGTTTTTTCAATCTACCCATCTTAACAAGATCTGATTCAACTGAATCCATAATTTTGATAGTATTTCCCTTTTTCTTTTAATGGGTGCTTTGAATTTTTTGTGCCATGGCAATGGATGGATTGGATTGATAGTCATTTTCCGTTTAGGTTTTTTTTTTTCTTATCATCTCCTAATCTATTATTCATGTTCTAAGCTTGGGAAGGCATATTGTAGGTACATGAACTTCATCGGCTTTATCGAACCCAAAAGACATTGATGAAAAACATGGAGAAAAACAGGCAAAGTGGATGGAATCCAGAGAGTTGGGATAAAAGGAATGAGATATGTTTCCGACAAATTTATGAACAGGATGCAAAAACTTACTATAGATCATCAACAATTCATTCGGTCAAAATAGATTTGGAACAGCCTGCTGAAGATGATCAAACAGAATCCAGCAGTGGAGCTCTGCAGACCATAAACGAGAACGAACTGGAACTTACTTTAGGGCCTTCGAGTTACAATACTTCAGATTCAGGAGTAACCCACTCTTCTTCTTCAACAGGGTCCAGCCATGAGGGAAGACGTAGGGATTCAAAGCAAGTACTTAAGGGTCAGGAAATGGAGGTGTTGGGAGTGATTGAAAATTCTTCAGGCTACCAAAATGGAAGTCATAAGGGTGAGAAGAAGATGACGTTGGATTACCCTCCTTGGCTTTTTCAAGTTGTGAGCCCTAACATGACTTAATTTTCAAGGGAAAAAAAAATTATTTGAATGAAATTATATGAGAAGATCTTTGATTGCTTCTCATTGACTAATCAACAGGGGAAATTGATGTTTAGTTGTTTTTAAGTTTCTTCTTCATCTCTTGCTGTATATGGAGACGTTGATGTGTAAATACTTTTGTATTTCTAGCTATGATTGATGTGAATGGAGAAATTGAACCCCTAAATCAAATTAAATTGTTAAAGCAATTGGAATGACTGTATTTATGGTAATGAAGCAAATTAGAATATCCAATTGGGATATTGTTTTGAATTAAACTATAATAAAAATCTATGAGTTATGACCCACCACGCTTTCAATAAAAATTTATAAGTTATGGCCCACCACGCTTTCAATAGAAATTTATGAGTTATGGCCCACCACGCTTTCACTGCGCAACTCTGATTTGCAACAGCTTGAGTCCACCATTAACAGATATTGAGTCCGCTTTTGACTTACGCAACACCCTTAAATCACCTCTTAGCCAAATGATTTTAAAACTCTTCTCCTAGAGAAATTTTTTTACACTATTACCATAAATGTTTGGCCCCGCACCCTATCCATTCCTCTTCTAACGCCAACCCCTCCCAAAGCTCTGCAACAAAGGGCAAAATATTCTACTTCGGAGGGAGGATCTGCCCGACCCCACCCGGCAACGTCCACTTTCTTGTAGCCGAAGCTCTCAATGCTCGGCCCTCGACCTTCCGTATAAACCCACTCAGCGTTATCTTCAGTATCCACCACCAATGGAGCTTTCTTCTTCTTTTGTTAAACTCTCATCCTCGACTAATTACTCTTTCTCGTCTTCTTTTACTCCATTTATTGTAAAAATTCACCCCAATAGTCCCAATTTCCCGAACCCCACATCGGGAAATTTGCGTATTTTTGCAGTTGCAGTCGACCCACAACAAGAATTGCCCAAAAACAACCCTCAGAGACTGCTAAAAGAGCTCGCGGAGCGAAAACGAGCCACTTCTCCGAAGAAAAAGGTGCCCCCAAGAAGGTATATTCTTCGGCCGCCACTGGATGATAAGAAATTAGCGGAAAGGTTTCTCAATAGCCCTCAATTAACTCTTAAATCATTCCCATTATTGAGTTCTTGTTTACCATCTTCGCGGCTTAACAATGCCGATAAAACTTGGATGGACGAGTACTTGCTGGAAGCCAAACAAGCCCTTGGATACCCCCTTGAGCCCTCCGATAGTTATGGAGACGACAATCCCTCAAAACAATTCGACACTCTCTATATTTGGCCTTCCAGCATCCCTCATGCGAAAGAACAAAGGCACGACACATAAGATCAGGGCACTCCAGGCTTTTGTTTTTGGGGCAATATGTGCTCGAATTGGCGTTAGCAGAGTATTTTCTACAGAGGTATCCGAAGGAGTCGCCGGGTCCAATGAGGGAGAGGGTTTTTGCGTTAATTGGGAAGAGGAACCTTCCAAAGTGGATTAAGGCTGCCAGTTTACAGAATTTGATATTCCCATATGATGATATGGATAAGCTGATCAGGAAGGACCGTGAACCTCCTGTGAAGTAAGTATGGTATTGTCTTTTCATTGGTTCTAATGCTTCTTTTTTAATCATGCTATGAGTAAGATACTTGTAAGATATAGTGTTTTGAGCTTTAAGTGATTTGAGAGTTCTTTCATTGATGTGTTAAGCTTCATATTAAGTTTGAGAAGCATCACAAAATATGGGAAGCTGATTATGCAATATGATGATAATGCCTTGTGCATAGTTGCTGCTCCTGGAAATCCAAAGTTAGTGAATTTTGATGGTTGTGGACTTTGAGTTTCTTTATATAGATGGCAAACCCATTTAGTGAAGATAATGCTGCATAAAACCAAGAAGAGACCATGTTAAGGAGGTTCTTTGAGTCAAAACTGAAAATGTGGCCTAAAGCCATAATTTAAGGTCGATAAGAACCCTAATCGTCAGCCCAACGATCCAAGTTTTTGTTGAAGGAAGAACCTTCCATCAAAGTAATTAACACCTCCTTATATGAAATTTGGATCAACCAAAAGATAAAGCTAGAATTAGATTACCTCTATCAGAAGATCTAGAACTAAGATTTGTAATCTTGTTCTAAATTGAGTCACCCCGCAATCGAACTTGATCGAGGCTTGATTGAATGACTCGGCAATTCTACCACAATAATTGCTTGAAACTTAGAAATGACAAAATTGATGCTCGGATTTCTAAGGAAAACGTCTCAATTCGAGATTCAATTTCATTCCTTCACCAATCTGATTTTTACAAACATATTGTGGGTATTTATAGTCTCCCGACTAAAGACGTTTGTGGCCGGGATACAATCCCGATCCCCTTTAATCTCCATGAAAGACGAAGTCAATTTTGACCATTTGACATTTTAAAGTTTCTAACTCCAACCATGCAAATATTTAGAATGTTTGTTGAATCTACCAACGAAAATGAATGTTTGTTGAATCTTTTTGGCCTTGGATCATGTAATAGGTCAAGTTGGAACATTTGGAACACAGTGATTCTTATCAAAAGTTATTTAGGTGGCGTTGTGTCACGGGGTCGATTCTTTGTGAAGCTTAACTATTTGTGAACCTGGCACCTTGCGTTTTGTTCCTGTTTCCTCACACCTACTGTGCACAGGTTATGAACTCCTTCCATGAATGTGGTGTCTTTCCAAATTCGTTTGTCTTTCACAAACTTATTTCAGGCTAATATGGTTATTTTTTACCAGCTTGGCTTCGACAAATCTGGCTTTGATATCACTTGTCACGGGATCACATATAAGATAAAGATTCGGCCCTGTGAAGCCTGGTATCATGGTGGGACTTGGGAGATCGGATTTTCTGTACCGACTTGTGTACTTAGTTTGCATGATTCATTGAAGTCTCATTTTTGTATGATGGAACATGTACTATTGGTTGATACAGCGAAACATGTATTGTGAGATCCTACATCGGCTGGAGAGGAGAACGTAACATTCCTTATAAGGGTGTGGAAACTCTCTCTAGTAGACGCGTTTTAAAACCTTGAGAGAAAGCCTAGAAAGGAAAGTCCGAAGAGGACAATATCTGCTAACGGTGGGCTTGAACTGTTACAAATAAGTCAAACACCGGACAATGTGCTAGTGAGGATGCTGGTCCCCTAAGGGGGTGGATTGTGAGATCTCACATTGGTTGGAAGGAGAACGAAACATTCCTTATAAAAGTGTGGAAACCTCTCCCTAAACACGTTTTCAGAAGAGAAAGCCCAAAGAGGACGATATCTACTAGCGGTAGGACATGCTTTCACGTCTAATCATGTTATTACTTGAGTGAACTAACCTACTTATGATTAGTAACTTAAAATTCCCATCTTTCCTCTTTCTATTACACTGATTCAATGTATTATATCAAACAATTTGAAACTAATATTTATTTACTTCAAGCAGATCTGTATTTTGGGCGTTGTTTGGGGCAATATATTTATGTTTCGGAATTCCAGAAGTGTATCGGGTCCTTTTCGAAGTGTTCGGAATGGATCCCGATTCAGAGGAATGTGAACCGAGATTACGCAGGCAACTTGAAGATGTAGATTATGTCTCTGTTGAATTCGAGGACAAGAAGATCAGCTGGCAAGATATGATTACTTATAAGGCAAGTTTTCGTGAACGATATCGTTTTCTATTGGATGAAATCGACTCTTGTAATCATGTTTTCGTTCCCTCGTTTTTCAGCCTCCAGAAGATGCTCTATTTGCCCACCCTAGGCTCTTTAGAGCCTGCGTCCCGCCTGGCATGCATCGATTCCGGGGTAATATATGGGATTATGATAGCCGACCTCAAGTCATGAAGGCACTAGGATACCCCGTTCCTGTTACAGATAAAATTCCCGACATCACTGAAGCACGAAATATCGAACTCGGACTTGGATTGCAGGTAATTACACCTTATCTGTGAAGTGATAATTTGTCAATGTGTATGGTGTAGAACGTTTTGCTTGATGCTTGATATAGATCAATGTAATCCTGTTAATCAAGAAAATCTCAGGCAAGTTCTTAATCAAATGCAGCTTTGCTTTTTGCACCCATCAAAATACAAGTTCGAGCATCCTCGTTTCTGCTACGAACGATTAGAATACCTCGGCCAAAAGATCCAGGTAAGATCGTTTACATGTATTAAGGAGAGATCATACTCCTTTCTCTCTATCAACATCCTGTCTACTTGTGGCGTTCAGTCGGAGCGTGTTCTTCGTTGTAGGATATCGTGATGGCGGAGAGATTGTTGATGAAGCATTTAGATGCTCCGGGAAAGTGGTTGCAGGAGAAGCACCGGCGTTTGGTGATGAACAAGTTTTGCGGGCGGTATTTGAGGGAGAAGTATCTTCATAAACTTATCGGGTATTCGGAAAAAGTTCGAGATGCATACGAGAACAACCGGAGGCTTCAAAACCCAGCCACCACGGCTGTTCAGCAAGCCCTTCATGGACTTTCTTATGCTGTTCATGGAAAGCCTGATGTGAGACGTCTCATGTTTGAGGTTTTTGATTTTGAGCAACTCCAACCTAAAGCTGTTTGAGGATCTACAAGGAAAGGTAGATGATGCAAGCAAAGGCAGATATGTATATACATATATATATATATATATTGGGCAATGTTTTTTTAAAACTTGTCTCCTGCAATATTCTTTCAATCCAGTTGCTGTCTCTTCTGATAGGATGCGATTTTTTTTTTTTCTATTTTGATTTTTTATTTAGTTTATTTGTAACTGGCAATAATACGACAAGAGATTTTCTAGAATATTAAAAATTATGAGTGTAACAACTCCGGCCCACCACGAGCAGCAAATATGGTTCTATTTGGGCTTTCTCTCTAACGGTTTCCATTCCTTTATAAATGGTGATTTGTTCTCATTCTCAGCCAATATGTGATATCACAATCTACCCCTGGCCCAATGTCCTCACTTGCACTTTTTCCTTCTTTTGATCGATGTGGGACCGCCTCCAAATCCACCCTCTTTGGGGCCTAGCATCCTTACTGGCACATCGCCTCGTGTCTATCCCCCTTTGGGGAACAACGAGAAGGTTGAAACATCGTCCAGGCTCTGATACCATTGGTAACGACCCATATTCACCGCTAACAGATATTGTTCTCTTTGGGCTTTCCTTTCGGGCTAAGAGTAAAATACAAAAATTAAAAATTATGAATTCATAAATTTTTAATTTTAATTTTATATAAAAATTAGTCCCATTAAATTCGTAAAATATGGGAGTATTATTGTATATTTTTTTTTAGGTTAAAAAAATTTAATATACAAAAAAGTAAAAAAAGAAAAGAAAAGAAAAGAAAAGAAAATATTTATTTATTATTATTTTTTGGGGAAACTTTTCCGGAAGTTGCCTACTCTTCTCTAGTCTCTTCAGCGTTGTAAATTGGAAGGGAAAATGGAAATACTGTGACACGCAACTCTGCGTCGAACACTGCAATAATTCGTTAGCCACTTCAGCCTTACCGCTCTCTCTCTCTCTCTCTCTCTCTCTCTTCTTTGGACTTCGCGGTTTTGCGAAGCGCAGGCCTTCTCTCATGGCGTGGTTGTCCGCCACATGAACCATGCGCGCCTTCAGGCCCTCCGTCGCCGCCTCCGCCTTCTGTTAGTGTTTGTCGTCTTCGCTCTCCATTTTCCGGTCGCCCACTCTCCAACCTTCCGTTCCCCTCCCCTTTCACCTCCTTCCGACGGCAGTTTCTTCAACTCTGCTGGGACTGGTCTCGGCGATAAGATCACTCCGATCGGATTAGTGGGCTCGAGCTATCCACCCATGTCTAAAGCTCGTGTTTATACGGATGTTAATGTTCTGCGCCCCAAGGACTATTGGGATTATGAATCTCTTGCCGTTCAGTGGGGGTAAGTTTGAAACCCTAAGATTTACGTGGGTTTTCGTTGGGGGGGGGGGGGGGG